TTAAGAGTTCATCATGTTTTGCTTTTGGGCAATCATACACAATGTGTCTAACTGTGTTTGTATTTGTGTTTGTGTGTATCTGCTCACGACTTGTGTTTGCCATAATATTGGAAACGAGTAGCCAAATATCGACCAGACCAGACGGAATAATATTTATTTGCTAGAAATTGATTTTAAACAGACTCTGGTGCTGAAGCAAGCCGCCCAATCTGAGTTCTAGCCTTTAATCTAGCTGTTTTCTCTTTCATTCTTTCTTTTTTTTTGCTGCACTGTGTGGCAGCAATTAAATAATATGTATAAACATATGCTATATATACAGACTGTATTCACTATTTATATAGTCAATTTTGCTTTGGTTTCTATTGGATCGCCCGATTAATTATTACTCATAATTTTGAATGTTAACTTGCTTTGTGTTAAATATATATATATATTGTTTATATGCTGTTGCTGTTGCTTCTTTGTTTTCTTAGACATTTTCTTTTGGTGGTTGCGTCAGTGACGTCATCAACAGCTGCGACTCGCTGAAGCGTTAAGTGACGGACGGGCGAGGGTGTAGTCAGCTCATGAAAGGTGCTCAGAGCATGCAAACTCACCCTTCCCTTCCCAAGGCGCAATTGAAGACTAAGTTGACGCGCACACAGACAAACACACACACACACACATACATACATACATACATATGTATAAATATATGCATTTTCGTATATGCTGATGCCGCAAAGTGCAGTCAACTCGCAGACACCAAACACGTATTTCTTAGCCAAGTTTCGAGGGTCTGGTCGGGCCTCAATTTTGCTTTGGCGGGTGTTTTGCGTGCGCTCTCTTTGGCCTGGTTCTGATAATCAGCTAACAGTTACATACAGTTTCTGTAGACCAGACCGCCTCTAGCCATGCTTTTTGCGTTGCGTGCGTGTTTTATATGAGTTTTGCTTTGGCTCTCTTTTGCCATATTTCTATTTTCCTGACTCTTTTTGGGGCCGCTATACGGTTGGCATTTGCTTTTTGCTCGTTTTTAGTCAACGGTTAATGTTAAGCTAATGTTATTATGGTTATGATACCCTGTACCCAGCACACAAAGGTCATAGGCTACCTTGTAGCAGTATGTGTGTAGCAGGTAGTAGCCAAGAGAGTTGATCTATTTCATAGATCACAATATTCTTGGCTTCTTTTTTTGTAAACTATACTATATCAGACAATTAGATCTGCGGTCTACAATTGTCAATATACGATATACTATACACCATTTAAAATATATGATCTACGATCTAAGATCTTCAATTTACGTTGTACAATATACGGTTTCTGATCAACTATCAATGATCTACATAATATGTACGATTGATTTTGAGATCCAAGATCACTTTCGATCTACGAACTACCATGTATGTGGCAAGATCTTCAACTTTCAATTTAATATATATTATTTATGATTTACACTCTTTACTTTACTTTATAATTATAACAGTTCATCTGTATTAGCTTTAAAAAATATATTACTTTTCTTAATGTACCGGCATTCAGTACACTTTAGATTTCGATATATATCGATTGTCCAAGAGAATCCTCTTTGAGGCTTTAGAAAGCATGCATATATTTAGTTTTAACATAAATATGTTAAATATTTAATAGATTTTAGATAATACAGATCACCATCATATGATACATAATCTCTAAATGCGAAAGAAACATATGGAATTCCTATTGAAATCACAGGGTATTCAGCTATTCGAGCATTCCCCAATTTGAGAGCACTTAATTGTTTGTTTGTTAGTTGCGTTTTAAGCTAACTGTTAAATAAATGGGTTTTTATACATTTAGTTGGTTATGTTTAGAGTATTTGATGGCTACCTGTTATTGTTGTTGTTGTTGTTGTTCTTGTTATTTGAGTTATTTTTGTTGCACTGAATTGTTGTTGTTATTGTTGTTGCTACAACTTGTGGTTTGTTTGACTGTTGAGCACAACCTTGACGCAACTCTGTGGTTACTTAGCTACAGTTTACGTCGTAATTCTGTAGGGCTTTGGTGAAATCCAAATCGGAGCACGTGTCAATTCAATTTCGTTTGATTGAAATATTGATTCACTTAAGCATACCACGACTTTACACTGATTATACAACATAAATTATACTGTAATTTTGGATACTCTTTGTTCATTAGAAAAGCAAATATTACAAATTATTACAAATTATTGCAAATATTACAGATTATTATTACGGTTATTAAATAAATAAAAAATTGCAAACTATAATTAAGTACATTATATTATTATATATATTTATTTTTAAGTATTAATTTGCTTATTGTTCATTTATTTTTATATTTTTTATTTTGCTAACTCGATTTTCTATTTATTTATTTATAATTAGTATAATTTATATTATTTTAATTAGTTAAATTGCATTTAATATATTTTATAATATTTGTATTTACAATATTTTCTATTAAAGAATTTTGCTTTGTATGTAAATATTTTTTAGCTTTTTAAAAATGAAATTAAACAAATTAAATGAAAAATATTTTGTTTATTTCCTTATTAAGGTACTTGAAAATTCTTTGCTGAATAATTAGTATTAAGTTTAGGGTATTTAGTAAAAATATCAAGATCAATATGGAGACGATTAAATTCTAATTGTAGTCGAACACGCCCTTCTGCAGCACTGTTAATTATTATTGCTTTGATCTTCGTATACCTTTGACTTCATATTTCGAATAAATGTACAGCGCATCGTCTCGTTCGTCACTCACAACTGGAGCTGCGTTTTTCATTGACCATTGACTGTCGAGATCTCCGTTGGGAGTTGCTCAGCGTCGTTGTTGGCACGATTATTATTTTGCTGCGCCATTTAAGACGAACAACAATAATAATAATCTCAACAAAGAGTGAGAGGACAGAGATTTTATTTGACTTCCGCCAAGATTAAGTTCAATAAACCACCAAGAATTGCAGATGCCACTGCGAGTAGGTGGCAGAGTGGCAGAAGACGCAGCATCAATAAAGTAGTCATGTGTGTATATGTATATATATGTGTGTGTGTGTCTGTATGCATGTTTGTCTATATGCACTTATCTTGGCAAAATTCTGATACATGTACACACACTCGTGTGACTAGATTTTATGATGTTGCTGTTGTGTTTTTATGCATCTCTCGAATTCCTAAAAGTAATCCCAAGTTTATTAACATACTTCGAGCCGCATAATCCATAGAAACCGATCGAAACAGGGGCAACAAATTAAGAGTCTTAGTTGCTTTTAAGATACCCTATGCGAACTAATAGTAGAAGTTAAGCTTTGGAATTCACCAGATAGCAATTTTTGTTTTCTTCTTCGAGGCATGTGTTTGAATAGATTCAGAGATATGCCATACAAATTTAAAAATACTAATTTCTCTTTATTTCTTTTTATTATACTTTAATTTAATTTGCTTCATTACTTTATTATTTTTTTTTTTTGGATTGATTATTATTGTTTTTTTGTTTTCATTATTATTATTTGTAAAATCAATAAATAATTTGAATGGTTTTTAATAATTTGTTCATATCTCTTTTTTATATAATTTTAAATTATAATTTTTACTTTTTGCATTATCTTCTTTTTCTCACTAGCAAATTTGTATTTTCTTTATTATTATTATTATTATTATTTTTTTTTTTTTTCAATTGAATTTTTCTTTATTTATTTTATTTATATATGTTTTTTTTTTTTCTTTTTTCCTTTTTTTTTTAGCAAAACTTTGTAGGAAAAATATATTGTATTTTTGTTTATTTATTTTATTTCTAATTTTTTTTTTTTTTCTCTTGTTCAGATATATCTTTTTAACAAAACTTTGTAAGAAAATTTTTAATAAAAACTATATTTACAATTGGTTCATACTGAACGAACTCTTTAGCCATTCGACTTCATATCATATTGTATGCGCTGCGCAGTTTATAACGATCTTGTAGATACAGCTCCAACTATCCCAAGCATTATCTTCTATACGGAAAAAAGAGCTAGATGAGCTTGCAGGAAAAAAAAATCTTGTTTGTCACATTTTTTCACACAGATTGCTGCCCCGTTTCAGGTTGTCGTCAAGTCGTTTTTCTCTTTCGTTTCTGGCTGCGGTCTCTTTTCCGCTGCACTGTGTGAATTTACCACAATTTGTAGATGCGGCGAATTGCATCTATTAGTCAAATGCGGCACAGCTGGGTCTTGCCATGGACAAGAGAATGCGAATGCGTCTGTCAACCGACAAGAGGCGGGGAGGCACGACACGCCCACCTGCTGATTGTGAATGTGAATATTCACTTTTCATAATTAATGTAATTATGTGTGTGTGTATATAATTATGAGGCAAGACTAGAGACATGAAATTAGTATATACTATCGTAAATAAACTTTTTTTTATAGATAATAGATATTATTATTGTCGTTATTATTATTATAATTCAAAATGCACATATTATAAATACATATGTACATACACGTATTTTATCTAACGCTTTTGAGCCACATTTGACACTAAAAACTAACACAACGACGAACAAAAAGTTTAAGAACGCGTCTTCTTGTTGTTTGCCGTCTTTCTTGTAGGCTTTCGTTTTGTTAACTGTTAACTGTTAAGTTTTTGCTGCTGTTCGCTCAGTTGTGAAAAAAGTAGACAAAAACAAAATAAATGAGAGAAAAAGCAACAGCAACAAGCTGAACGCAACGGTTGATTTTAAGCGTGTGGTGTGTTTGGCCGCGTGACTCACGACAATGGTTTGCAACGAATTCGCCGCCAGCTGCGCAGTCGCGTGCTGTGATGCGCAGCGACAACAGCGGCGTCGGCGTCAACTCCAGCTCCAGCGCTTTCAATGTCAAATGGGAGCGATAACAACTACAACAACAACAACAACAATTATGAACAGCAAAACAATGTGAATTATGTTAAACAGCTTTTGAAAGCTTTTGAGCTTAAATTCACAATTAGCTAGTGCTCTCGCCGTTGTTGTTGTAGCTTGTAGCTAGAGCCAAATCACATTCGCTGTTTGCTCATCATTTTTTTGCCTTTGCATCATTGTTGCTATTTATAGCTGCGCATTGTCAGCTAAAGCTCTAGACGGCGAATATGGCTTTCGATGTAGCCCAACTTTCTACGCACATGTTTGGCCAAGTTCAAGGCAAAGCGGCGAACGGCGAGCTAGTGCGAAGCTGTGTTTTGTTACTGTTGGGACAAACAAGTTGAATTCGCTCCAAAAGATAACGCGAATTTCACACTACACGCACACAATCAAGGCGTGGGAAGTGTTGCCAGAGTAACCAAGCTAACTAAAAGGGGGAAACTGTAATTAAAAGCAAGGCAACACCACCAGCAACAGCAGCAGCAGCAGCAGCAGCAGCAGCAGCGGCAGCTGAGAGCGTAGCACAATAAAGACTAATGTGCAACGAATAGTTAAGATCTCCAAAGAGATATGCAAGTTCATGTATATGGAAATATGTGTAAATGTGTGTGTGTGTATGTGTGTGTGTGAACATGTGTATGTACAAACTTTCTTACCACCATGTTCGGCGCGTTTGAAATGGATTTGAAAATCAAGAAACTGAAGCGCTATTTTGATAAACTGTTATAGATCTCTAAAGGAGAAGAAGAAAGAGAATAAGGGTGTAAGCGTAATGGAAAGAGAGAAAGAAGGGGAGATGGAGATGAATCGAGAGACTAAGAGATAAAGATAGATATAGATACACATAGAGATCGAGAGTATCATATATAGAGATAAAGACTAAGATAGATTAAGAATGAGATCGAGACTGCCTAACAATTGGATATTCATAGATATATACATATCGATCACGAGATATCTCTCGTAGAATTTCATCTACTGATAGGGAGAAAGAGGGTGAAAGAGAAGTATTATGGAAAAACTAACTTTTCTCTTTTATACCTTTCTATCTATCTAGGGCAAAGAATCAAGTCGCAAAACTGGCAAATAGATCATAACATCGCGTTGATATGCGCCCTCGCATATGATACAGTCTGCTTTATCTTTATGTGGATCTATTTTATATACATCTAAGATATAGTCGACATACATCTAAGCTCATTTAGAGATAGAGCAGCTCTTGCCAGACGCTTATATAATCAACGATCTAGAATATTAAACTCATTAGGATCGCTTGTTTTTTGCTCATTAATATAAAGATTTGCGCAAGTTTTTCTCATATTTTTTTAGGAGCATCAAGACTATTTCCCAAAGCAATTTTGTAGATATAAAATAACAGATTCTGCTTCTTTTTTTTTGTTCAACTAATCATAAGTTATTCAACAAGTAGACCTATAGTCTAGATATGCTTTACCTCTTTAGGAAGCCGACAAAGTTTACGGTAAAGATGAGTTTTTTACTTTGTATCTAAAGTTTCTTTTGAGTTAAATGGACACGGCTCGATTCGTAGGGCCACGTTAGGAATTGGCACAAATCGCCGCTTGATGTCTATAAATTAGGCTAGTGCTGGATTTACCAGCACCAGAGGTAAAAAAAGCAAAAGAAGAAGACGACGAGACGACTTTGGAGTCATTTGACAAAACAAAGAACCAGAACGAAACGACTATAAAGATTAAGATTTAGTGTAGCTTACTTAGAATGAAAACAAACAAACATAGAGACGAAGAAAATCAGAGTTAGGAGAATTGTGTCATGCGCATCGTTATTATAATTATCATTATTGTTGATTTCAGCATTTACATTCATTCACACGATTGTGCGCCACTCACAATAGATGCGAAAAAGAGCAAAAACTAAAACAAGTTCTTCAATTGTTGTAGTTAGCATCGAGTTTAGAGACTCGACATGAAAAAAATTAAGCATAAGGAAAAAACGAGTGCAAAAAATTAACACTTATCACATGACGCCACATCAGGTATTTGCAGCAAGGTGAGCAGCACGAATCAAAGATTTGAATTTTTATCGAAACACGAAATCAATAAAACGAAACTCTCTTTAGATTTCTCTTATGTATACGAGATTTACGTCAACACAACTCTATGAAGCAATCAAAAATTCGATAGCATCCAGTTACTTAAGATTTAGAGAGCAAGAAGCTGAGGAAGCTGAAATATTCTCTTGGATGTATTCCCTATGTGTGCATTAATTATGTATAAACATCGAAAAACAATCTCTCGAGAAACAATCTCTATGCCAAGATATGTGATATATGACCATAGAAAATATGTATATCATGATATATATATGATAAACAGTTCTGATGTTAGTTATACAGACCTGGTATCTATAAAAACTTTCTGAATTTCAAAGTCAAGAGGAGATGGAAAAACTGGAATGTCTATCTATGAGTTCTGCTCCAAAAGTATTGTGAATGTTAAGTTACGTCCCTCAATTACGATCACTTTGGTTCATTTTTGGCAGCTGTTTTGCTGCAAAATTTCTTACGAATTTTGGACTGAAAAGCCTATACCAAAATGTGACAGAGTCTCTAACAAGTACTTAGACAAAAATCACAGACTAATGATGCTGCACACTCATTAATCTTAAGTTGAAGATGTACTACTGAGCTACGATTGATAGTTCAATAATCTTAAATGCTCAATTCGAATCTACAAATATATTATATAAATCATTTTCATTTTTAGAGGACTCCATTATTTGTAATACGAATATTACTTATTTGGTTTATGCAGTCCGGAAACATTGTAATGCGGGCATTTATTGAGTTAGGTTCAAGAACTATTAAATGTGCCTAAACAAAACACGTTTATTGTTTACTAACGCCGCCATAGAATAAATATAGTAGGGCTAATTTACTAGAAATATGATACGCATATTAGCAATATATGTATATACATATACTAAGGTTTACCGATATGACCAGCTAAGTGATATGCGCCTCATGTTGCCTAACACAGTTAATTATTTCCCTTGCATTGAGCAATGAAATTGTTCCATAAATAATACCCTCAATTAGATCCATTTTTAAGATAAGGCGACGAAACTTATATTTTTTGTAACAAAATGCAATGAGTGTACTTGAACTTGTTTTTTACGAATTGCCTTTCGGGTTTGTTTTCGCAGGCAAAGAAAGTAAATAGTTTTGTCTATTGATAAGAACTGATAAGAATGCCTAATGGATTAATTTTTTTTTTGTACAAGTTTATGCAAGTGATAGGTTTTTTTTTCGCATTTGAACTGAACGACAAAGATATAAATTTATGCAATTTCTGACTGATTCTGATGAGTATTAGTCGAAAATTACTTGCAAATGAAATGGAATAGACAAAAAGTAATATTTTTCTAAGAAAGAACCCATATCTTATTGCTTTTGTCACATTTTACAGAATTTTTCAAATAAAAGTCTTGCTTTTCCACGTAAGATCTTAACGGAAATTAACAAAATTCTAATTCCATATAAAATATTTTGAATCGTGCACAAACCAGAGTGAGTCAAATTTAGAGATTCCGCGCTAAGCTGAGATTACAAATGTCCGAAAATACCAAATTGAATTGAAGTCACGTTTTTGCAAAAAGTATCATAAATAATGTGGGAGGAGGCAAATGGTGACAAATACACTCACACTCAAACACTTGTATATACACGCGCAATTATACGCATACGCACACATAAATAACGTATGCTCACATACGATCTGCAATTCGCTGCTGATTGATAGAGCAGAACAGAAGAAATAACACAGCACGTTGTGTCGTCGGGAGAGAGCTGCAAGAGTTGCAATAAGCTGTGCTCAAAATACCAAGAGCTTAATGGAGAGTAAGTGGGTGGACCGCGTGTGAGCACGAGAGAGATAGACACAAAGAGCCTGTGTGTGTGTGTGTGTGTGTGTGTAAATTGCTCACGAAGCTAAAGTATGAATGTAATGTGAATGTGGAATGCGCGTTGGGAGAGAATGAGTCAACTTCAGCTAGACACAGAGAACACCAAAACGCACATTAATGCGGGTGATAGACAGGGAGGACTTCAACAGGCCAATGGGTGGACTGTGCTGCTGCATCAAAAGAGAGCGCAATATGGGAATGTGTGTGTGTATGTGTGTGTTTATGGGCGAGAGACAGAGAGAGAGAGTGTGTGTGTGTATGTGTGCATGTGCATGGAATAAGGTCAAGCGGGGTGCGGCAAAATATTTCCGCTGATAGCATTGATAAAAAGCCCGCAACAATTTTTGAATGGCAAACGCACTAGATGGCAGCAGAGCAGAGGCGTTGCCAGTGACAGTGACAACAACAACAATGGGAGAACAACAATGCACAAAGAATGGCAAACAACTAGCACAACAAAAATTTAAATAATAAAGAAATCTCAGTAGAAATTTCACTTTTGCTATGCGACGAACGGCGTCCGTTATACAGCAGCAGAAGCAACAGCAGCAACAGCAACACATAAAGACATGAATACTTTGAGTTTTGGTTTTTTTTTTTTTGCCTTTACTTTGCGCACACACACACATACAACTGGCGGCCAGGCCGCACTTTCTTTGACGCTGACGCCGCTGCTTGTGCCTCAGCTACTGCGGATATCGTTCGTTCGCCTTTTGGCGGCTTTTACAAAATTTGTTTATTTCAGATCTAGCAGTAACAATGTGCAGGACGTAGCATCCAATTAATCAATTACTACATCAATCACACTTGAACACACACACACACACACAAGCACACACACATGCACTCATTCGCGCACGCACATTAAGCGCACCAAATCGAGCGCAAAATTTGTGCCGTTCTATATTTTTGGGCATTTTTTTTTTCTTCATGATGACGCGTTCGCCAAAACACAACAAAAAATTAAAATAAATAAAATAAAAACATATCTTAAACAATAGAATGAGACAAAGGGCAATCGGACGCGCAATTTCAGCATGAAATTCACATTTTGCACGTTAATATGCAAATATCACAACAACAAAAATTCAACACCAGCAGCTAGACACACCATAACAACAACCAAAATGAAATACAAAAAAAAAAAAAAAAAAAAAAAAAAAAAAAAAATACAAAAAACTCTTATATGTGTATAAACAATTCAATGACAACATACAAATTCGTAATCACTTGGTAGCCGCTTCTTGTTGTTTGTGCTCGTTTTTTGCAGCTAAAATACATATATACATATATTTAGGTTGACTGCAGCGCGTCTTTTACTATAAATTAGTTTTTAATTTATGTCGGAACGCCTCGAAATTGGTATATAGGTAACTCCGATGCGCACAAAAACCGAAAATGAACTGAATCGGATTTAGGGATGAGCAATATCTACTTACCTAGCGCTGGCTAATATTGCTTTAAAAGTATCGATGGTTCCGACTGAATATCGTATCGTATGCTATCGTATACTGCCCTAAGAATCGCTGTGGTATTTTGTGCTGAGAAACTAACTTAAATATTTATCAGTATTTTAAATATTAATATATATTTTTTAATTTTATATACTCTGATTCCGAATAATACAAATATTACATTTTAGAATTGTAATAATGTATTCAATACTATCGATATAATGGAACTCGATGCTTATGAAAAGGTGAGCCGCTAGAGGCGTTTGTGGCGTTTAATGCGCAAGTCACGCCAAGCGACAAATTGCCAACAGAGTGACGTCATAATCTCTCTCAGAAGGCACAATTATGCAAACAAATAAAATAGACCTAATAATCATTTTTAAGTTGCTAAATTTTATAATGATGATCAATATTAAGGTCAAACGAAAAAAAAATTCTCCTAACATTATAAAAAAAATATAACAGCTTCCTTTTATTAAATTTTATTTATTTATTATTTTTACTTTTTTTTTATTATATTTTTTATTATATTTACTAGCATTGTGTAATTTATATTCTTAAACTCCACTTAAAAAATTTGTTATGTACATTTTATTTAATAAATTACAACTAAAATTAAATGGAATATCTAAAATGCCAAGTAGAAATAATATTATGATATAAACAAAATACAAAAAAAATTGAAAAATGTTTAATAATTTAAAGAAAAAAGATTAAATTAAGTAATACATATACAAATTTAAAAAAAATAGGAGAAAAATAAAAATAAAAATTGTAAATAAATACAAAAAAAAACGATGAGTTATTAAAAAAAAAAAAACATGATTAATAAAATAAAGCGGTTTTTATTGAATTATTTGTGGAATTGGAATTCCTTACGCTTCTTTTAAAAGCAACATCACAAGTTCGAGCTCGTTAGTCAGCTCTGGAAAATATCTTGTATTCTGCTATGGGCTGCTTTTGAAAACATGTTAGCACAAATAAATGGTCACATGCCGGGAAAGCCGCACTTGTATACGTAAATAATCACACGCTCCGCTCCAGCACTCGCTCGAGCTGTTAAATACTGCTCAGTTGGCTATGCAAATAACAGTTCCGTGAATCGTAATGGTGTTTGCTCTGTTAACATAGCCGCCATGTTCTCGTTATTAACCTATTCGAGTAGTAGCGCGCAGGTACCTGATTCAAATTATAATTTGAATTCAAGGAAAGAAGTATACCTACAAAATACATGCACTAATAGAACAATTAAGCATTGAATTGATTGTATCGAAATTTCGATATTCTTTAATGTTCCCATCTTCAATTCTTAGTCTCATATCAAATACTAACTTTAATTTACTCTGAGTTTTGATCAGCTTATATATCAACTTAATAATATATGAACTGACTAAATCCCAATGTGAGTTAATTAAAGTCAGCACTTGATATGAAATTCGTTATTACAAATACAAAGATAGACTTCAGTTAGATATAAAGGCGGATCACATCCGACATCAATACTGGCTTGTTGCACATTGGGCACCTGCGGCGGTTGACAAGGGCCGTCCTGATGCAGTTGCTGCAGAACACATGGCCACATTTTGTGGAAACCGGCTCCATTTCAAGAATACCCTCGAGGCAAATGGGACACTTGTAGTTGCTATCCACGTCAGCGTTGTTGTTGTTGCTTGGTGTCTGGCTGCTCTCAGCTGGCGGCGGACTCCAAGTCAAGTCAACTTGTATTTCCGGAAGGATCGGTGGTTGATCACGGTTTAGAGATTGGCCACGGATTGGGGATTGACCATTAATCGGAGGTTGATCACCGATTGGGGATTGGCCACGGACTGGAGATTGGCCACGGACTGGAGATTGGGCACGGACGGCCGGTTCACCACGGATCGGAGACTGGCCATGGATCGGAGATTGGCCATGGATCGGAGATTGGCCAACGAACGGAGATTGGCCACGGAACGGAGATTGGCCAACGAACGGAGATTGGCCACGGACTGGAACTTGAGCACCGTTTGAAGCTTGGCCCGAAGCCTCAGAGTTCCTGGAGCTTTGGGAGCCAACGTCGTCATCGTCGGTCTCGCTATCCGACATGAACATCACATCGATAACTAGTAAATGAGTAACATTTAGATAGATATAGATATATATATACCTAGATATAGATCGTTTATACTAACAATTTTGAGCGTGACCCTGGTTTCCTGAAGACCCACGCACCAGATTCATTGTGGTGCTGACAATTATGACTAGAAAGAACCAACGAATTCGATTTATATTCATTTGCACTCATTAAAATACTATTCCGGCTCAACAAAATTTATACGGACAATTTGAATGAATATTTATATACTATATACTTACCGTCATTCAATTCTCCATCCTCTGAAGCCGAATCTCCCAGAAAAATAAACGGATCATCTTCGCTATCTAAAATATATGTATATAATTAAAATATATGCACATACATATGTATATTAATTATATATATATAAACAAGGCGGACGTTACCGACTACGGAATTCTCATTCACATTCCGATCAGCAAATCAGTAGCTATGTTTTGCTCTAGTACTGTAGAAAATTCATTGCCACGCCCCTACTGGGCGTAGACAGTTCCTTTTTTTTGGCCAGTTCATAGAGCAAGCTAACGATAGCCTGACTGCTAAATTTCGATGCTTACGCCCCTAAAGAGGCGTGACAATATTTTCTTGGTGATTTGATAGAGGAGGTTACTAATAACTTAACTATTTAAATTTGAAGATTCTAGCTATAATAACCCTATGGGCGGACATACATATATCCGCCAACGCTTTTTCGTCTTGGGAGGTCAGCCCGAGTTTATACATATACCAAATTTGAGGTTTCTAGCATCAATGGTGTCCAAAACATAGCAGAATTTGAAAAATCACTATATCTTCAGGTCCGATATGTAGACATATAATTTTTCATGAATCTTAATAGAATAACATTAGCTCACGTGCAAAATTTTAAGGTTATAGCTTAAAAACTCTAGCAGATACAGTTTAATCCGATTTGCCACGTCCCCGATGGGCGTGGATATATCCATCATAGTTCGCGATATTGCGTGGTCAATCTACATTTCGAATTTTATCATTCTAGCTCTTCAACTAATGATTTCTGACACATCGGAAAATGCATTTTCCGATTTACCACGCCCCTAGGGGGCGGATCAGAAAAATTTTAACACTTTACGAATCGAATATATGCACGAGTATGTGTTCAAGATTTCAAGGATATTGCACAAAACCAATATAATAAAATATATGTATAGTCACTTTCGTATATGAGCATAAAAATATAAAATATTGCACTTACTACGATAAATGTGTTCAATTGAGTAGTCTCCTTCGATACGAATTTGGAAGGGATTGTTCTCCTGTTCCCCAGTTGCATCTGTGCATATACATTTGTATATAAGTAAATATTTATGCACAACTAGAAAATTCTTAGAAATTTTACTTACGGTTACCGTTAGCCACGCTGCCATTATTAGCTGCCGCATTTTCGCCATTCGACACATTCGAAATGGCGCCTTCGGCCAAAGTTGCTTCGTTATTCGGCGGCTCCGGGGCAGCGTTTTCGTTAGTATTCGAACGCTCGTTGGATTCTGCAATGTTATAATTATAGTTATAGCTACCATTCTTTATTAATTAATGCGTTGAGTAGCCAACCGGATTCAGGAAAATTAAAATTATTCCGCTCCATATTTAATTTTTGTTCTCAATTTTTTACAGCTCGTACAGATGAATAGCGGTTGAAGTCAGGGAAGCAAATGAGGAAAGCTCGAAGTACGTCGACTACGATAACTATCGATTTGACTGTAAAATGAAAGCCTGCTCTGTTAAATAAAATGAAAATGACCGTTCGTTTCAGTTGTCAGACAACAAAATTAGGAATTGCTAAGCAGATGTAAAGATCTTAAACAGCCATATATAAATATAGGAATAATTTACGTTTTCATGTGTATTATGTATTAAATATTCATTTATACAAAAACATCAGAATAATCTCTCTCTCTTATCTTTAACAGCATAATTTCATACAATTTTAATTGGCTTTAAATAGAAAAATTTAATATTTGATAATATGAAATATCGGATTTTGTTCACTTAACATCGAAGACAGCAGGAAAGGCATCAAGTGTAGACATTTTTGAATCTTTCGTTAAGTTGCCTTCGTTAGCTGAGTAAACCGCCTTAAAAATTCAAAATGTATCGAGCTGCTAACATGGCGAGAGCCAACACAATATATATCGATACTCCAAATACATCGCTAAGCACTTTCGACAGCTGAGCGCATTTTTTAGCACATTTTTGCAACGCGACGCGTTTGTGTAGCTTCTGCTAAAATTTTTTTTACTGTGACAAAAACAACATTAAAAACCAAACGCAAAAAGCCATTTTGTTGTCTGTGTGCGTGTGTGTGTGTGTGTGCGCATCCTGCAACACAAAACGTTGCAAATAGGATACTTTTTTTTTTGTTTGTTTTTGTAGTTAGCCCAAAAAAAAAAGCTTCCTCCTCTCCAGCACCAACGGATTGCAGCTGCAAAGCAAAAGACAAACTTAACCTCGCAGCGTTTGCAAAAAAAGAAAAGAAAAAATACATAAAAACGCAAAGCAAAGCGGCTAAGAAGAAAGAAGAGAGCGAGAGCTACTTGTGTAAAAAAGTGTTTGTTGCAGTACTTATTTTTCCAAAAGCCCTCAACATTCCTACAACGAAAAGTTGCAAATAAAAAAATACGTCAAATAAACGGCAAGTGAAACAAAAACGAAAAGAAAAACCAAACACACCGGCGAGCAAAGCAAAAACGAGCAACGTACATACATACATATGCAACTGTGCGTGTGTGTGTGTGTGCACGAATGTATGTTAAATAAATGTTATTTTTGAGAAAGAATAAGGTACATACACTTGTATGTATGAATGATTTGGAATTTAGCCGGCTTTTCGTCGAATTTGTGTGACATTATTCGACCAATTTTTTGCACTTCCTTGGAGTGCAATAATATTAACCCGAGATTGCCTGTCTCCAAAAAGCTTCCCAATTGGATTTACCGTTTGCTAATTGGCAACAGCTGTGCAACATGCAAATCTTGATAAAATCCGACTTTGGTTTTACATTCAAAACGTAAGATTTTTATTTAGTTTCCATATTCAGTATGCATGTATGTATGTACATATGTACATACATAAATTGAGAGGAATGCATATATACACACATACACGCTCGTATGTTTGTATGTATGCAAACATAACCTAAAATAGAATTAGTGATGGGCTGTGGTCGTGACCTACGCCAACAACATGATCGTGTTTTTTTATCTAAATAAATCCGAATTTGGCTTGAAATCTACTCTTTCTTGTATATATTGATATTGAGTAGTCCAATTCTTTTTTATTTACTTTATCATATTTAATTACATTTTTGTATATATGTTTGGAAGGTTTTTTTTTTTTTTTTTTTAAATAAAATTTTATAGTATATTTTGAAGCATATTTACAAATCTTATTTGGCTTTTCAATTCTTTATTTATATTTATTTTATAATTATTATCATTTTTCACAAATTCTCTGCTAGAATAAACACAAAAAAAATGCATTTATAAATTAAGAAAGTTTGTTTTTCTCTTTTATGTAATTTAATGTAAACTTTCTTTTCCCATATATGTATGTATAAAAAACTCTTTTCGATAAAAAAAATTAATAAATTAATCTAATATAATTAACACAAATGGTTATGAAATATAAATTTAAAAAAGTTGGTTTTAGCTATTTAAAAATTATTTTTCAAAATATATTATTGTTATTTTTCATTGATCTAATTTAATATTATTAAATTGCATTTTAACTTTGAAAACCTTTAATTTTGATCACTTAAAAAAAAAAAAAAGCAGCATAACAATTAAGAGCATTATAGTTGGGCATTACCAATAATCTGAATTTCTAGCTCCAAAACTTTGTAAGATATAGGTTAATCTGCTTTGCCACAGCTTTTGATATATTCGTCATATCTTTTTGAATTTAAATTGTCAACCCGAGTATGTATTTCAAATTTCCACTCTCTCTGTGGTAAGATACCTAGAATCCGCCTAGTGGGTGGATCGGGAAGAACTCGATACTCTATGTACGAGTATATTCGAAATTTCAAGCTCCTTGCTTTAATAGCGTCGAGTACGCATATGTACAGACTGGTAGAAGCAGAGACAGAAAGTTTACAAAAGCAATATACTCGTTTCGCTTTCGTGAATGAGTATAAAATATATTTCTTAGTCGTAGCATAATAATGTATAATATAATTAAAAGGTATTATATGAATTAAACTAATTTCTCGTTTCTGTATATTAGCATTAAACAATATGTCGAGGACTTAAAACATTTAATTTCTTATTTTTAACATTTTTGCATTAGAAATAATTTTATTTTAAATATGTTTCATTTGATATCTTTGATTATAATTTTCATATAAGACCCCAACTGACTTTCTTACCTCTAAAATATAACTTCTGTTTCAATAACAATCTATATGTACTAATCAGATATTAAACTATACAAATTTCAGCTAATATGCCAAATTCAGATCGCGATGGCGATGACAAAGAACATGAATATTAATAAGTGACAAAGTAAAAAATAAAAAACTGACTTGAAAAAAAAAATCTTCAAATCAAACAATAAATCGAAAAATTGAGAACTGGAATAAAATGGATCATTTTCAAACGTCGCTAAATCCGCGCAAACATGAGCTGCTCGAAGCGCGCATCATTGGCGTCAGGGTAAGTTTTTAATATATGTATATTTACATATGTATATGAAACATGTAATACACTATAATAAGGAATTCACTATATATTCAATGATATTATACTTTAGCCGAGAAGAGTTTTATTCTACAATATTTTAACAATCATAAGGTACTTCAATTTTTTGCTTGATCATATTTTATTATCTGGCAGAGCTGTTAGTATTATTTCATTTCGCCTAGCTGTTTTTAATCTTGTGAATTTCAGAATTTATATAAATGACAAAATTTTAAATAATTAAATCGAAAAATTGTTTACTATACCGTTATTATATTATTACTACCATCGAACAAAAATAATAATCATAATAATAAAAAAACATTAAATTTAAAAAATGTACGCTCAGCATAATTATATTAATATATAATATATATATTAATATGAATATTTCCAAATTTGATTTAAATTTAATGATTTGCATTATGACTACTTATTTTTTGTTTATATTACAATATATGGTATATATGAAAAAAAAAAAAAAAAAACTAGATAGCAGATCGAAAATGTTTTAAATGAAATACTACAATTGCTTAACAGCAATCTATGAGTTTAAATATTGGGTAACTAAATGCACGGGGGTTAACATGGGTTAAGAACCAGGCCCAGGCACAGGCCAAACGGTTATTGCACTTTGGAATTGTCAGGCAGCAACACAGCTTTAACTTTGTGCATCTCGTTGTTGTTGTTGTTGGGCTGGAAACTGTGATGGGGTAGGCCAGTGGCATTAGTAAGGGACGACGAGGGAATGGGATAGAGAGGGAGTCTGGCAGAAAATGAAGATGGAAGATATAGGATAGAGGATGAAAGATGTAAGATGTAAGATGCTTTTCCCATAGTTTTAGTGAGCCCTTCGTCGCTGCTGCTGTGGCTGTTGCTGTTGCTGTTGCTATTGCCTCACCTTCGCTTCGTCCATTTCTTTAGTTTGTCGCTCGCGTGCATAGGGCAAAGAGTTTAACAAAGCAAATGAGATGAAAGAAATACACGAGCATAAGCAAGCAAATTAGCGTAAGCAAAAGATGCGAGGCAAAAGAAAGCGAGTAATACATGCATACATAAATATGTATATACAAACATATATGGATATGCATGGGAATATATAGATGATATATAAGCAGTCTATATATGTATGTATGTGTATACATATATATTTCTTTATTCATATGTATATGTATGTATTCCATTTTTTAAAATGAATCGCTCCACTTCTGCACACATACACACAATGGTTGGGCACTCTTATTGTTGTTGTCAACATCTTGTCTCGTGCCGGGACGTGGCAAACACACCACATAAACCCACACACTCACGCACACACATACACATACATATATACGTATATACGCTTATATTACCAATACATATTGCACAGTGCATCAAGTACATATATACATATATGTATATATACTTATGCACACACACACACACATGAAAACTTTTGCACATACACTCATACAACCCCCAACCACTCGCCGCCGTAAGCAAAGCCAAACCAACTGTGCTGGCCCTCCCCCTCCCGCCTGTCAGCTTCTTGTCCTCGTCCCCTATGCCTCCGCTGCCCTACACCCATATCAAGCGCACTTTCCACACTAGCCCCACTGTAGCTCCCCCTGGCACACACATAAATACATACATACGTACGTACAAACATACGTTTGTTAATATGTATATGTGTATGTGTATGTGCATATGTACGTGGTTTTCCTCCTTTATACACGCTCTCTTGCGCTAGCTAAGCTAGGCTGGTCGGCGGCCTCTGCTTTGCCACGTCTCGTCTATGTGCGTATTTTGTTTGAAGAAATGAAAGCAAAAGAACAGCTGATAAGCGCGACACTGTCGTCGGCTTCGTCGTCAACGCAGACGCTGGCGTCGACGTCAAAATTCGTGCTGCGTTGTTAACAGTGCGTCGCTCATGCATGTATATATATACTACATATCTACAGATAAACATGTATATATGTGTGTTATGGCCTCTGGTGGATTAAGTAAGTGTGGTGAATATTAAATTCAACTCTTGATAAAAGCAAATTAAGGTTAACTGATGATCGAGTAAAGAGCGTACACAGTGGAACACATCACTTGAATTTTAACCCAATTGCAAAACATGAATATAACAAATATTGATACAATATTTTTATTTATTTCTGTTGCTCAAATATTTAATATTTCTTACCATATTCGAATCGCTCTTATTTGATTAAATTCTATTTTTTATCTGATACATACAAACTTTGTTTTTCTCTTAAATCTCTATATTTACAACTTTGATAAATTAAGACGCTTAATTGCTGTAAATTTAAAAAAATATATAACTTAAAATTTAATTGCTTTAAATCAAGCAGTTGAGTTGTACTTTTACCGCCATGAAACCACAGTGCAGCGGTAATCAGTGTACTGTTAACAAGCATTGCGCTGTTATTAACAGCTGCTCTGTCTTCTGTTATTTTAACGAAAGCTGTCGCCGTTTCTGTGACTGCTGCTGCTGTTGTATTCTGTGCGCCGCATACAGGCGTTTAAAAATTGTTTCACTCCATTTGCAAATTAACGCAAATTGCACGGTAAATGTTAATAATAAATACAAACACATGCCAGCAGTAACAGTCTGGGACAGACCCCCTAACAACAGCAATCATTAAATATGATGAACATTTTTATGAACGAACATAAAGATATGTATAAGATACATACATACATACATACAATAACATAGCACTTAATTGGCATACGCCTGTCAACACACATATACTGTGGCAACAGCAGCGTCTGCAGCAGCGGCAGTGGCTTCCGCATGTTATTAACAGTGACGTTGCGGCCGTCGTGTTTTGCCGGCTAATGCTACCAACAAAAAATGCGAAAAATATAAAAAGAAGAAAAACAACTACTTCTACAACAATGTGTGCGGCGAGCACTGTTGTAGTCGTAGGTCGCTGCTGTTGGCAGAAATTTTAACAGCAGCAGAGCAGCAGCAGCGGCGCAACAGCAGAAAAGTATTCTCTCGCTAGCGAATGCTCTCGCTCTTATGCTCACCATGTGTCTATGTGCGTGTGTTGGGGCCGGCTTGTTAACGGCTGTTTTGGCTTTTGTTTCACATTCGCTCTTTGTGGTTAATCAGTTTATACATACATATACATATATTTCTTTTATTTATTTATTTATTTTTTTTTTTTTTTCAAGTTGTATTTGCTGTTGTTGCTATCACAACGCTTATGGGCGCTATTGTGCTTACTTTTTTCTTTTGATTTCTTACACTTGCTGAGATTTTCATTGAACGACTCTTCGCTTTATAAAGTTCCCGTTAAACGGTCATTCATTTCACATCCATATATGTATACATATGTATGTATTTATATGTATACATATTTGTGTATGTGTGTATGCGTTCTTATCGGCCTTATCAGCTGAAGCTTGACTAGCCGCAGTTGCGCCTTTGCTTCGGTTATGGGACATCGTTCGTCGTTACCCGTATACCCTTCACAAAAAAAATGAACCAACCAAAAACAGATTTAGGAAGTTTGCCGCCAACGTCAACGCCGGCGTCGCGGCCACCGCCATCGACGCTCACGAAGATCAGGCGCAAAGGCAAAGCTCGGGAAGTGGCAGAACGCAAAACGAAGCTGCACCCGACAGTTGTAAAACAGTTTAGCTCTGCTGCCGTTCTCTTGCTCCTTTACGTCCTGTATGTGTGTTTTCCAAGTAGCAGCTACGACACAGCGACAAAAACGTCAACTTATTGCGGCAGCAGCGACGCAGCAGTGCAGCGCCGCTCAGTAAACGTCGTAGTCGCGACGCTGGGTTGCTTTGCTTGCCTCTCATTTTTTCCACTTTTTCCTTCTTATTTTTTTATTTTTCATTTTTCCACAGGCCCAACTGCATGCAGTTTTTCACTGTTTTTTCAGTTGATTGCCACGCTTCAATGGAGTTTCAGTTCGACTTCAAGTTCGAGTTGTTGTCCATTGTTGTTGTATATGTTTTTCGCTGTCGTCGTCGTTGTTGTTGCTGTTGTTATTATTGTCGTTGACATCGCTGCCTAGCGCAAGCGTCCGTATGTCTGTGTGCGTGTGCGTGCGCGGATGCGTGCTTGTGTGAATGAGCTTGTCGATATGTACATATATATGTGTGAGTGAACGAGAGCTTTATGTGAGAGTTGAAACTGAAAAAGGGCGAAAAAAAACGGTGCAAATAGTTAATTGTTTTTTTTTTTTCTGTGGGATTGTATGTGTGTGTATTCCATTGTTGTTGCAAAGTGAACCAATGAAATATAACGATAACAGAGTGGCAAACGAAACGGTAAAACAAGTGCAAAACAGATTCACTCATTGCAAAGAAGATAAAGAAGAAGAATCATCAGCAAGAGCAGCAATAGCGAAGACACAAACCACAATACCCGATATGCCTGTAATAAAGCAACGAAAAATGAACCGCTTAAAGGTTAGTGCAAAATTTTAAAATAACAGAGAGAGAGAGAGAGAGAGAGAGAGAGAGAGAGAGAGAGAGAGAGAGAGAGAGACAGATAGAATAAGATAATTTTTTAATCTGTTTTTGATGCCTTTGATTTTAAAAAAAGTGAACAGGACACGACTAGCATTAAAGGCAGAGAAAGTGAAAGAGATGGCGAGCTGAGCAAGAAAGACAAAGAAAGTTATATGTAACTAGAGACCATTGCATCTTTACAGTTTACAGTAACAAATCACTTTCTCTGTGTCTGTTGGTTGTTACTAAGCTCTTGATGAGTTCGAGTGGTATATATACATACGTAAATACATATGCATCTCTTCATTTAATATAAGTTTATTCCAATATTCATAATGCTATAAAGTTTACCTAATA